GGCTGTTGTTTGGTCTTGTCATGCAATGGTGGGAGAGTGTGTTGAATGATGAGACCAAACAATGGGTATGAAGGACACTATAGAAAGCGTGGCACTTGTGCAGTTTATTTTTGTTACCAATTATTCAGACACCAGTGTCAATACCATAAAATGTGTGTCTGAGTTTATCTCAGATAAATTGGGATGGTTTTTTAATCTCCATTAAACAATATTGTCATTGGAATCATTTTGAAAGTATATACCCTTTCACAAAAATGCAAACATCATTCAATTAGCGTCCCTTCCCAAACCATCCAACCAAAAAAATTACTCCTGTTCACATAGCATGCCTATGTTTCTTTAAAGGGATGTACCACAGACTCCAACTTTTTAGGGTAGAGCTTTTAAGGACACTTTTTAAGACTGCAGTTGTAGAAAACAGGCATGAAAATTGTCATCAGGGGTTTTCCAGAAAACTGAGTTGAAGTCATATTTATAGTTATCAACTTATGTGGTTGTTTGCCTTTTCTGTCCAATTGCAAAATGAATGAGAGTGGAGAGGGAGTGTTCATGGAAGAATTGTTCAAAGGATAACTTATCAAGGTGACCAATTTTAAACTGGCACTGGTTTTTCTTTCTTTCTTTTTTTTTCAACTCTTTATATTCAAACTCACTTTGTTTCTTTGTTTGTTTGAAGGGATTTTGCTTTGAATTCTTTTTTGGAAGGTAGGGGACGACACTTGGAAAAAAAAACCCTGATAGAGGATCAGGTTTTTAAGTTCCTCACCATTGTTTCTTTCAAATGGCAAGTACATTCAGGGAATCATACCCTATTATGGGTCAAGTTTGAGCCCAAATCAAGTTCAAGTCACTGGTCGAATTAAAGTCAACTCAAATTTTTTTTCCTCTTCATAAAATAGAACTATTTGAAAAAAATACAACTTGTTGTTGTAGTAGTCAAAGAAGAAAAACAAAAAAGTAAAAAAATGAAGACCAACTTTTTTTGAATTGGCCACCACTTTGAAGAATTTAGGAGCCAAGTGGCTATTAGAAAAAAAATTTAATTTCACGCCCTGTTTGGACATTACCTGCTCTTTGAATTGAGGCCCATAACTGTATACTTCACGAAACAAATTATCTCCTTGGACAAATATTCTGGAAATTTTCATGCCAAATAGTAAAAACTGTTGTCTTAGGTGCTCAAGTCAAGTAGCTCTTCCAGCTGGAGCTGTAACCCCCCTTGATGGGATTCGAGCCTCTCCTGGTTACCCCCAGACATTTCATCAGGTTTTTCTGAAAATTCAGACACAAATATAAATATATAGAGGTGAAGAGAGGCACTGCGCGAGTTAAGTGTCTTGCCCAGGAACACGAAACAATGACTTGACGGACCTCTCGACCCAGAGTCCAGTGTGTTTGGCATCTCCACACATGCCCAAACGAGGCGATCGTCTATGTAAAGAGGCAGAAGCACACAACCTTAGGGATTTGCTTCTGATTAGATAAATGATTTGTACACAAGGTGTACTACTTTCTTATAATGTTTGCAAGCTGTATTTTGCATTGTATGCACATGAGATTTTTTTCACTATTTATCACGTGTTAAAAGGAGGACATGAAATGTTAAATTGATTAATTTGATATTTATTCCCTTGTGATGTATTTTAGATTTTTCCAGATAGGTTTATGCGTCGTGAAGTACTTTCTCTTGTGGTTCACTGCACATTCATGGAGGACGGGTGTAATTGGATGGGAGAAGTGAGGTATTTAGAGGTACGTCTGATATGGAAGATTCCGTGATAATCAATTAACAATTTGTTCATACTTAAGCATGGGTTCATCGTGATATGAAGCAGGCAGGATATTTGGAAAGTACGAAAGACACGTAAGAGTTGCTCAAGTCGCAACCAAGAGCAATTGTACTTTCTTGAATAACGGCTTTATGAAGGACTAAGCAGATTTGAGATTTTTTCATGACACTTTTTTTCGGGGACTAACGACATAACATATTTTCTTACAATGAAACACCAGGGAATTAAAACTCCCTGGTGTTGCATAATTTAAACTATCAAAGCAAGCTTGCATTTTCTCTTTCTTTTTGTTGTTCGTTTGAGTGTATAACCCTTTACACCCTTATATCAGTACACATACTTCATACTGTCCTCTTTACATTTCTTTTGGACCTGACCTGGAAGAGACAAGAACTTCCGTGGCCGGATATCATTTTCTTTTTCCTTGATCGTGTAAGGTGTTAGCGACAGGCTACCGACAAGCTACCAACTGGCTGTGGCGACCGACCAATTCAACGATTAATAGCCAATTGTCGGCCGACAAATAACCAACAGCTTTTTGGGAAAGCGCCTCTTAAAAATTTCAATTGTCTGATTCAGCGATGATTCTGTGAGTAGAAACCATACGCTGGCTACTCTTAGGGATTAAAGGAGGTCTATATCGACAAGATGATATCGATTAATTTTTGTCACTCTTGGCATTCCTGCATAAATCACAGATCCTTCCAAGG